AAGACTATCAGGTCTTGCAGGGAATCTAGCCATACTGTACATTGTCTTGTCCCATTGTCTTGTCCAGAACCTTGGTTTAAGCAACTATAGCCCTCTTACTTTGTATATTTCTTGACTATAAAGCAAATACTACATGGACAACATTGCCCAGGTCTGCTATCAGCTTGAGATGTAGCCTATGAGGGGACTCTGGTCAGTCAAGCACGGCCACGTGACTCTGGCAGGCCTTGCCCTTCACACCCATTCCCTCTGCCTTGCTAAAAATCATTAGATTACATTCTTAAAGCTAGCCATCAAGGTCTATTCTATTATTTGGCCATTTCCTCCTCCTGAGGCTGACTACCAAGCTCCAGCTATCAAAGTAATGAAGCCCAACAATCAAAAGTCCCCTTTGGCTCACCTAATTAACATGCCCAGTTAAAATTAAACACTTTATCCTGACACAGAGGTTTCCCCTTTTACCTTTATTAACCCTTTGTCTGTGGGTCACATCTGTCTCCTCTATCCAGAGGCAGTTGCTTGTCTCTACTTCTGGGACAGACACCCTTACCCCCCCCCTTGTCCGTTCCCCTTCTCCCTCATCCTCTATCTCCTGTCTTTGTCTCTTATTCCCTGTCCTCTGTCCGTTGGGGCAAACAAATCTCCTTGATGCTGAGCACTTGGTCCTGGGGGTCCTGAATCTAAAGGTTCCTTTGTGGCCTGCCACAGCTGCTGTGACAATTGTGTGTCTTCAGGGCTGGCCTGGAGAAACACTGTACTAGGTGACCATTTTGAAGCAGGAGACTGCTATGGTGGCATCCTAAGTATAGGGTCTCTTCTTCCTACTAACCTACATTTTCACAAGTTGGAGCTTTCGATGATAAATGTGGTCTTGCCACAGCGCACTTTTCCAATTGTCTCTGTGAAAAATGTGAGGTTTCTTTTTAATGTTGCTAACTTTGTTAACAATTAATAGATGTGTTGTCTGTAACCTCCTTGTCCACAACTCTAAATTTCTTGTTTTTCCTCACCAGACTGCGTATTTTTTTTTATGCCGTGCTGCTCTCGCTGTAGCTCTAAATTAAACATCTTGCGCAGCAGTCCTGCCCCAGCCTGACTTCTTTGCTGTCTTGAAATTTCTTCCACCAAACATTCATTGGTCCATTGCTTTTGAATTCTGCCTCACGTAAATTCAAAGGGCTGGGCAGAATGAAGCCAGACCCTTTGTTGGAGTGTAGCACAAATGGCCTCCAGCCCAATTCCTGAGTGTCTTTGTTCCCTTCTGAAACATCTTTTCTCAGCATCCTAGCTCTCCAGACTCCCACAACCTGGCCCACGGAGCTCAGCTTACAGAGTTCCAGGGACTCTGGAATTTTTACTGAGCTTCAAATTCTTCTGCCTTCCTCCCACAAAGCTTCAAAGGCTGTCGGGATCACATGGTCAGGCTCATCACAGCAAAGACCGCACCCTTGGTACCAATCTTCTGGTTCAGACACTTTCCTTGTTGTTGTGACAAAAGACCTGACAAAGGCTATAAGAGGCGCGAAGGGTTTCTTTGGGCCCACAGTTCAAAGGTGCAGTCTGTGAAGGACAGGAAGTAATGATATCAGCTGCAGGAGACAGTCACACTCCGTCTGCAGACAAGAAGCAGAGAGAGGTGAATTCTACTCTTCAGTTTGCTTTCTCCTTTTCCATTCGTTCTGGGGTCCCGGCTGGTCCCACCCACAGTCAGTTAACTCACATCTTCAGTTAGACCTTCCTGGAAATGTCCTACACAGATCCAGAGGCGTGTTTCCACAGCGAGTCTAAATCCAATCAACTGAACAAAAAGCAATAGTCATGAGTGCATAGTAAAAGTATTACAAAAAAAATAATACGATCCTTGGAGTATCCTTCAAAGTAATGTAATAGAAGAGAAAGAAAGTTAGCTATATGTCTACCTAAAACTGATGGTCATGTGCTGGTCATTCTCGAACCTGAGTTAGGAGTGCAGAGAGCTCCATTTGTTTATTTCTCTAGTCTCAGAACTATTTGAAGTGTCCCACACTAAAACGATTAAAAAGTAAGGATAGCGCTGTTCTTTCCCTCCAAAAACAAGTGTTAGTGATAAGTCCTATTAGCCCTTCTGGGGAAAGGGAGGTGGAGCGGTACTTGGCAGTCAGTACACAAGGAGGGTCTCAGAAGTTTGAGCCAGTGGTAGCGCTTCACAGCAGGGAAAACCAGCTGAGGCGTGGTCTGGTGATGAAAAAGTATAAACCTGCCTGGTAGTGGTGGCGCACGCCTTTAATCCCAGCATTTTGGAGACAGAGGCAGGAGGATCTTTGTGAGTTCGAGGCCAAAACCTGGTCTAAACGCAAGTTCCAGGACAACCAAAGCTGCACAGAGAAACTTTGTCTCAGAAACAGAAAAAATAGAACAAGTTAAAAACCAAGAAGTTGTGCTGCCCCATTAGCCAAGTTGACTTTTTTGAGCAAGTGTTTGATTAATCACGAGTCCTTTACTGTAGAATAGTGTTTGGTCCATATAAATAGCTTTCCTATACTCCTGGTTGACATAGGCATGTGGAAAGAGCAACCAAGTAATCCTGGCCCTTGGGAAGACCCTAAACCCTATTTGGAAATCAGCATCAGTAGCATGAAAACAATGTGAGTATATATTGTGCTCAAGTACCATGGGAAACAGAAAGTGCTTATGCTACCCTATAGGCAACCAAGACAGGTTTTACAGAAGAAACAGCCAAGAGGTTAAAAATTTAAGACCAATGTAGTGTTTGCCAGAACAAAAGGCAGAAGGAGGAGGTCATTCAGGAAGAAGGAAGTAATGTGTCAGCATGAAACCACAATGATGTGTTCTGGGGACTGCAAGTATTTGCATGGCTGAGACATGTCAGAAGGGTTCTAGAGCTTGTTCCTTGGGCCACAACATACAACCTTATTCTGGGTCTAAAACACAGGAAAGGTCTTAAGTTTAAAATCCTATTGGCTTCTAAAAATTCCTTCACCCGGGCAGTGGTGGCACATGCCTTTAATCCCAGCACTTGGGAGGCAGAGACAGGCAGACTTCTGTGAGTTTGAGGACAGCCTGGTCTACAAAAGCTAGTTCCAGGACAGGCTCCAAAACTACAGAGAAATCCTGTCTCAAAAAACCAAAATAAATAAATAATAAATAAAAATTCTTTTACTGGGGCAGGGGAGATGGCTCAGAGGTTAAGAGCACTGACTGTTCTCCCAGAAAGCCTAGGGTCAATTCCAAGTACCCACATGTTGGCTTGCAACAGTCTACAGCTCCAGTTTCAGGAATATCCAAGGGCATTGGTGCACAGATAGACATGCAGGCAAAACTCTCATATGCATAAAACAAAAATAAAAGTTACTTTAGTAATGGGAGTGGGAGAAGAGAGTCAACCTCAAAGCTCCTCACAGCTGGAGCTCAGGCTGTGTTTTAGACCACAGATGCAATCCAAGAGACAAAAGAGAAGCAAGAGAGGGCTTAAGGTCTGCCAGAAAACACATGGTCTGCGCAGCAACAACCAGTCTCCTGTAATCATAGACCCTGTGCAGAGAAGGAAGAGAAACGAGTCAACCCGAAATCAAAGCTCTAAACTTCATTTTTCAGCCCCTTAGTGGTTTGCTTGGAGGAAATGAAGAGATGAACAAAATATGACTTCGCAAATCTCACAGCTTATTGCCACACAAAGGGAACTTTTGGCCTTTTGCTCACACTACTTAAAAATGGAGAAAAACACGAAAGAATCTCACAGGGATCACACTTAGCAGAAGAAGCACAACCACACAGTGAGTTTTGAAATCGGGAGCTCGGTTGCTCCATCAGGAGAGAAGCAGGCCTCTGCTGGAAGGCCAGTCTAATTAAAGACTTAGGGCACCTTTATGTCCGTGGTTCTCAGAAGAAACTGGTTTAACTCATTCGGCAGAGATCTGTGAGGGTACCTGAGGCCCCTCCGAGCCAGAGGATAGTGTGAGTGTGGCTAAGTCAGGCTTGGGAGATGAGCTGAAGGTCTGTCACAGCATGTTCTTCTCTCTCTCTCTCTCTCTCTGTGTGTGTGTGTGTGTGTGTGTGTGTGTGTGTGTGCGTGTTGTCTTCAGAGAAATGACTGACAGTGTATAACTATGCTAAGTTCTTAAAAGTGCCCAATTGTTAGGTTTAAATGTATTTTGATATTCAGTAGCTTGTATATGACCAAGTTTTTCAAATGTATTTTGATATTTGGTAGCTCTTATATGTATGATGGATGTCTCACCTCAGCGGGAAGGAGAAATCTCACATATCCATTGGGGTCCAGTAAGACTTCATATTCTTCAAAGGAAGGAGAAACACTTTCCAATCTCGGGAGATGCTTTACCAGGGAGCGAAACAAACCTCAGTTCTACCCAACCCTCCAAGTTTTTACCAGAGAAAAGAGTTATCATGCATGCGATTAACCATGTTAAGGGTGTTCAGGATCATTTCATGGTACACAAAAAATTACCCACCCTGTTGTCATAGGACTATTTATCAGTTAACATTTATTTTCAAACAGATCTTCCTCCCTTTTCTCTTTTGATTGATGTGGCACCTTCGTCTTCATGCAAATAGAAGCCTACGCGTTACATATAAACTAACAAAAAGGGTGGACGGGAACCCTTTAGAGAAGAGCAACAAAGAATCAACCAAAGTCGGTTAACAAAAAGCATCCGGATAACATGCGGGCGGCTTTGTTTCGTTTTGTTTTGAAGTGGTTTAGACAGCCAGGCCTTTGCTGTGTGCCTGGCGCAGGCAACTCCACCCTCTGAGAGATTTTACACAACCGCAGTCCCACGCTTGCCTGCCCGAACCACACAAATTTCCCCAGACTTGGGGACTCTAGACGTCCGGTTACACAAGACGCCTTTAGCATCTGCAAGCTCCAGCACGGCCGCCCACGGCCCCAGAGGCACAGAAGCCCGCGCCTGCGCACACCTTGAGGCCGCGGGCGAGCGGGGCCCCACCCCTTCCGTCGCCGCGCCCTCACGCTCACGCCCCTCCAGGTGCGCGTGCGCCGCGGGACCTGCCCCCGCCGCGCCACGGCCGTTTCTTGCGAGCGGCGGCCGCCTCCTCAGAGCTGCGGGTAGGCCTTGGAGCGTGCAGGGTCGCTCGGCGCTCGAGCTCTTCTTCTTCGGCAGCCCGGCCGGGCGGCCATGGCTGCGCGGCGACGGCGGCCCGCGGCTGGCGCGGGGGCCCGGGACACGCTGACGTTGCTGGCGCTGGCCTTGTGCGCCCCCGGGGTGGGCGGCGGGGCGCTCGAGTGGTACTCGGCCGTGGTGGGCATCGAGTACGTGGACCCGCTGTCGAACCAGACGGTGTGGAGCGTGTCCGAGAGCGGCCGCTTCGGCGACAGCTCGCCCAGGGAGGACAAGCAGGGCCTGGTGGGCGTTCCGCGCGCCGACGGAGACGAGGAGGGCTGCTCGCCCGACACGCGCTTCTTCGCGCCCGGCCGCCTGGGCGCCGCGCCCTGGATCGCGCTGGTGGCCCGAGGCCGCTGCACCTTCAAGGACAAGGTGCTGGCGGCGGCACGGAGGAACGCCTCGGCTGTGGTGGTCTACAACCTGGAGCACTACGGGAACGCCACCGAGCCCATGTCGCACGCGGGTGAGCAGGCCGGGCGCAGGGCCGCTCTCCGGGGCAGGGGCGAGCCTGCTGGTTTCCCGGGTGGCGTGGAGAGGGAAGTGCGTGCCCCCACTGGCTCGGAGCTTTCCCCTCGGGGTGGGGGTGGGGAGTGAGAAGGCCGGGAAGCGGCCTCGCCAGGGGAGTAGCAAAGGACCTCCGCCGGAGGAAGGTCCTCCCGATTCAAAAGGTCTCCAGATTCCCTGATCGTCGGGGTCGCCTAAGGTCGCTTCACCATCTCCCAAAGTTGGCTAAGTGGTGCCTGTGTGGGAGCGGAGGGAGATTCTTCCCCGGCGCACTCCAGGGTCGCATTGCTTCTCACCAGCCTAAAGCGAAGGCTTGCTGGCTCTCTGGTGTCTTCACTTTGACGAGGCGTCTCTGAATATATCAAAACCTCGACTCGGGAAACCTGGGCTTGCTGGGCGCTCCCGACACCTGGAGGGCGATCACACGCGCCCATTGTGTTTGGACAGTAATGCGTTCAGATGAAATCATTTCACCGTATTCATTGTCGGGAGGCCGGTCCTTAAGCACACTGTTCCAGGGACAGCAGGTTGCACCTCAGGCAAGGATGAGTTAGCAAAATACCATCCTTGGGACAGAGTTCTCTCCAGGGACCCAGAATTTGATCGGATTTCTGGTGCATCTTCTAAAATCACATTAGTTTTAAGGCCTCACACAGTTGACTCATTCTGAATTTCCTGTGATTACCGTTTTTTGTTTCTGCTGCTACTAAGCCAGACATCCTTTTCCTGTACTATGTGCTGTTGTTATTGTTCTGTTTTGGCTTGAATGCAACGCAGAATTTATAAAGTAAAAATGACATGGATTTGACCGTTTTTTATAGACGGTCGGGAACGATGGCTATTTGATGGCCAGGAAGTGACCTCCACTTGCGGATCAACTCCAGGTTGACTCCAGGTTAGCAGAGAAACGGGTTCAAAGTTTTGGAGCATAATAGGGTGGAGTAGGAGCAGGTGGGGAGACTTTGAAATTGCATGAAAGTAATCTGCTAGAATGGAGAAATGACTGAAGAAGTTGGGTCTTTGAGAACACAAGGTAGGTAAGAATGAGTACAGATGTCCCCACATATGTCTCCGTGGTGGTGTTGGGTCAGACAGTTTTTGGTGCAGTTAATCCAGCGATTACAAATTGGCCTAATTGTCATTGTCCACACACTCTGTTTCCACAAGACTCCTAACATTATAGATGTGCCCCATCTACAGCGTTCCCAAATTAGTTCTGTCAATGAAAAAAGGCCCGGGTGCTGAACCTGATTCCTTGATATTGGGTGTGTGCACTTCTAGGTGCATACGCATCTTCATGCAGACTTTTTCTTTTTAAATGACAGGCTCATCACCCTACAATTTTCTAACTCTACCCTGCTGCATTTTTTGATAATGACATTAACATCCTCCCAAGCAGACAACACTTGTTCTGACCATGGCTCAGCAACCTTGTTTATATTGTTGACATATAATTTATCCGGTCCCAGAAAACACTTCAGTAATGTTAATTAGAGTCTTCGGTGGAGGGACACTTCTGTTCCCATTATTTGCCTCCTTTCTAGCCTTCTGAGCCTGATAATTCTGACGTTTTAAAGGGAAAGTTAGCACCTTTAAAAAAAATAGTGTGAAAATACACGCATCAAAAAATGTGATGCAGTAAGTGACTGAATCTTCTGCAGGCCCTTTAAGGTAGATCCCTAACTCCATTCTTCGAGTAAGGAAACATACTCAAAAGCCTTTTAAATTTAGCCCAGATGACTTGGTGGCCCTATAGAATGTTTAGCTGCATTCCTGTCTTCCCACATCCTAGATGCTTTCCGCACAATTGTGACAACCAGAAATGCCTTGAGATTTTTGCCAGAACTTAAGGGGGCAACAAAATTATCTAGCATTTTGAACCACTGATCTAAAGGAATATAATATTAATTTGGTAGCTGTGCAATTGATAATAGAAAAGGCTGGAAACATTTTAAACTCTGGGTCTGTAGGGACTGCAAAAGTGGAAAGGTTGTGACTCTCATGAAACTTAGCCCGTTTGGGTACCAGGGAATGACAATGGCATCACTTTGTGGCTGGGCAGTGGTGGCACACACTTTTAATCCCACCACTCTGGAGGCAGAGGCAAGCAGGTCTCCGTGAGGGGAAGGCTAGCCTGGTCTACAGCGTGAGTTCCAGGACATCTGGGTCTACACAGAGCAACCCTTTCTCAAAAAATAGAAGATGGGAGAAGCCAGCTTTGACAGACTAAATTTGAGCTGAATATTTAGAGCCACTGAGGCTGTTTAGACTTAGGTTGGTTTCCTCTGTATAGTCAGAATGTAACTGAAGCTAGGAAAATCCACTGATTCAGCTGTTCTTAGTGCTGATGTGTAACACTGGATTTCTATGAAACAGGTAGGCATGTGCTTCTGAAACTGCATACTGATAATCTTCCTAAATTGTGGGGAGAATTTCTCCCCAGTTCTTAAATCCATGTTTCCTTTCACTGGAATCTAGCTCTAGATAACTTTTAAAATTTAAGTCATTGCTAAAACTGAGGATTGTCTCTAAGTTGTGATGATGCTATCTCAGAAACATAAGTAAGGACTTAGAGTTATGCTAATGTTCTCTCTCTCTCTCTCTCTCTCTTTCTTTCTTAAACAGTCTTAAGCAGGACCAAGTATTGTACTTACTCAGAGTTGGAAATACCTAAGATGAATGCCTGCCTCTGAAGAGTTTATGGTCTGTCAATAAACATAACTTTCCAGGCCAGAAGAGTTTAAACTTAACTGAATTATATGCACAGGTGCTTAGCCTAAAGGCTGGGTGTTGATGCTGAAAGGTGTAGAAATTATCTTGACCAAGATAGATAAAAATAGATAGAAGCCAAATCATTAAAGTCTTAGTGTTGACCTTACTGTAGTTATGGTAGGTTAATAAGTAACACACTCCTCTAGCTGAAAGTTTGGCACAGCCTTTTAAGAATGGCATTTTACATCCTTGAATGTTATTTACCAAGTGCCAAACAATTGGCAAACGGCTGGAGAAAGGGCTTGAATTGGAAGGAGGATTTCAGAGATAGATAAGAAATACCCAGCTAAGCCAGCCAGTTTGTTTACCTGAACATTTCTGCAGACATTTAGAAAAAGTTTGCCATGGTGATGCTACATTACAAAGTCTTTTAATACTTTAAAGACAATACAAGTCTTTTAATTTTAAGATCCCTGAAAATGGCCACAATATTGTAATGATGGGACATAAGGCTTTTAACTAAAAGTTCACTGTGACTAGTTCTAAGAACCTAGTCTTGGAAAAAAGAAAAGGAAATACCCAACTTTAGAGAAGCTATATATTAAGAGGTATTCATTTTATATTGGCAAAGCATATTACATGGTCTTTTATGCTCAGTCAGTTATTGATTATCTGTGATAATGTGCTCTCAACTGATCTACAACTTTAATTTGAATTTAAAATTTATCTTGGTGCTTAACTAACCAGAAGTGGCACCCTAACAGCCTCATGGAGGATGTGGTCAACTAGGACAGTTCCCCAGAAATATTGACTTTATGGACAGGTTCAGGACATTGGGGAGTTATGTGTATGTAGAGTAGGTGGGCTATAAGTCTTCCATGTTGCAAAAGGCTGAAAGGTTCTGAAGTGAACTAACATGGAAAGGCTGCGAAAGAGTTCTCAGGAGAAGTATTCAGTATAATTTTCAACAAATGTATTTTCAGGGGAGGTAGTGGTGGTGAAGTTTTGTTGTTTGTGTTTGAATGTTTAGTTGGGGTCTTGCTAAGTAGCTCGTGCCTTTTTTAATTCATGATCTTTTCTTAGCCTCCCAAGTGCTGGGGTTATGGGCATGGATCATCATACTAGCCAGATTTTTTTATTGATTTATTTTTATGTGTATGAATGTTTTGACTGCATGTATGGAAACATACCACATGCATAGCTGGTGCCCATGAAGGCCAGATGAGGGCACTAGAATTGGAGTTATGGTGGCTTTTATGTCACCATGGGGGTCCTGGGAATCGCCAGGTCCTCTGCTAAAGAACACCAAGTTCTCTTTAACTACTGAGCCATCTCTCCAGGTCTTCCTGCACCCCAATATTTTTGACTAAAACCAAGTCATACAAAAATATTTATAATTATGTTGCCCAGTTGTGAATTGTGTCCTCCTCATTCACCCTAGCCAACCTTTTAAACATTTATCTAACAAGATTTAGTGCAAACTCAGCTTAAGCTCTACAGCAAAGAAGACATTCCAGATTACTTCCTCTCTACTGTAATTCTTTTTTTTTTAATTTATTTATTTATTAAAAATTTCTATCTCTTCCCCGCCACCGCCTCCCATTTTCCTCCCCCTCCCCCAATTAAGTCCCCCCCCCCCCCTCAGCCCGAAAAACAATCAGGGTTCCCTGTCCTGTGGGAAGTCCAAGGAACCCCCACCTCCATCCAGGTCTAGGAAGGTGAGCATCCAAACTGCCTAGGCTCCTCCAAAGCCAGTGCGTGCAGTAGGATCAGAAACCCATTGCCATTGTTCTTGAGTCCTAGGTTATTTTGGTTGTAGTCCTGGGAGATGAGCTAGTTTTTCAAATCCATTCATTCATGAAGAAACCTTCCACAGGCCATGCCACAAACCTGATAAATTAAACAGGTAGTACTTGTTCCATCTAATGAAGAGTGACCTATAAAGAAATGTGAAAAGATTTATGGAAGGAGGTATCTGAGGCTAGAGAGATGGTGCTGTGGTTAAGAGTGAGTATTGCTTCTACAGAAGCCCCCCCCCCCCATTTCAGTTCCCAGAGCCCATGTTAGATGATTCATAGTGCCTGTAGTTAGCTCCAGGGAATCTGATTCCTTCTGGCCTCCATGGGAACCTCACTTGTGTGTGTGTGTAACACACAAAATTAATAACAGTGACTGCAGATAGAGCTGAGTTTGCACTAAATCTTGGTTTTGTTGAGGATTCTCTTAGGGGATAGAAATGGCCACAAT